GCCGCCCCGGCTACTACAGCTGCCCCGTCTACTACAGCCGCCCCGAATACAACAACCGCCCGGTTCACTACATTCGCCCCGGCTAATACTACTACAGCCGCTCCTACTACTCCGAGATAGATCCCTCAGCGATCACTCTTGGTAGCATCTGTTGCGGCCTTATCCTTCTTCGGAACTCTCGTTTTCTGCAAGCGGTGGGTATTCGTACTTTTCAGTCTATTCACCACTGCACTGCAGTCTAGTCAGCTGACTATTGAGCACGGGCTTTGCGCACGTGCGTCGTAGAGCGCGGGAAGCTTTACATTATCTTCCAAATATCCCACGGTTCGGAGTTGTGTTTGGTCTCGAGCGTTGAGTAGCATGGGGAACAGACGACGAACACACTTCCACTCTTTATGATAGAAATCGAGTTGGTAAGTCGATCAGTTAATACAACTATAGACCCGCACTCGACCATCACAGATGATCTTCTCACCCTCATCTTCGGACGAATTCAGTCACGAATGGCTATTCACGCTAGAAACGGGTTGACTTGCCACACTATCGTGTTGATGGGATGAGAGAGTGTATAAAACATGAGGTGTAACTAATATGACGAGGGTTTGATAAAACTCCCAGTACCACAAGGTTATCATACTCATTCCAGGGTGGGTGAGGGAGGTGGGATGGAGGAAATGATCCATAGGCAACAGGAATGACAGGAGTCAATTTCTCCGGTGCCGATAGATTGCTTGACTCACACTGGCTCGGTAAAACTCACAATATAAGGTGTCGCGTTGAATGTCATTTCGCGATAAGCTGGTGTGCGGCGAAGATGAGCTCGATGTTAGTGAGGCGACGATATCCTCAGTGATGAAGATGGTTGAGTCAGTCTCCATTCATAGCCTCAACCTGATACTCTTTCCTTCATTGTGCACCAACCGAGGGAAAACGAGAATGAGACCTCTGTGGAAGCTGACAAGACTACTGCTGTCAGCAGTAGTCTGTCAGCAGTCTGCTGACGATCTTGCTTCCATCACGAACATGCGTACTGCTGCTCAATGAGTCTCCGATTATCTGGTGACTCGAGGTATAATGGCAAGAGCTCTGTCAACACGTTCAGCGATTTATGGGTGTGGATATTGTCATTTCGGCATATAAGTGAGTGTCCTATCGCTGCCCAAGGGGGAAGATCTGGGTTCTTCCCCCAGGGGCCGTATGCGGATCCTGATCCATGAATCTGAGTCCATGATTCAACTCACGCTTTGATCCTGATTCATGATTCAAGTCACACCTTGATTCGAGAGAACTCATTCAGATTCTTAGCTTAGGAGAAAGAGTCGAGATTTCTGAGTATGAGTACTTGAGACAGAGTCAGATTACGTAATCATGAGCAAGATCCTTGATCCTTGATTTTAATCAGCCGTTGAGTCCGAGTCCTGATCCTTAATCACGATTCAAGATTCAAATCTATACTCAATGGCTGATTCAGAGTTTTTGGCACTGAGACAAAGTACTTCATCAATTCGAGATAAAATACTCGGAGTTGGGATTTTTACTCGTGATTCGAGATTAATTCTCAGGAGTCGAGATTCTTTTACTCAACCTGAAAGCTGCTCAGATTCAAGATCGCAATCTGACCTTGAGCATGAACCGGGATCATACTCATGATGCACAAGCTCACAGTTTAACACGGGGATTAATCTTGATTCTTTACCGGGGGTCCGGACCCCCGGTACCAAACCCTGATTCTGATTCTCGGCCTCGATCCACGACTTCAGCGCGCCTCGGTAGACTTTCTCGGCTCCCTGCGAGTAGGTTCTTAGAATGACCGCACCGGGGGATGGAACCTCGGCTTGGACCAAGTGGAAGCAAATCCTTAACCAGTCGAGCTGTGAGATTATACGATCCAAGGCGGTGCAAGGAGGTCTAGCGCACGTAGTACATACAGGGTATCAGTGTGACCCTGCCCGTGTAATGGATTAGTTGCTGCTCCCCTTTGCGAGTATGCGTGCGGTATGGTGTGAGCGTGCGTGCATTCGTACGCAAGCGTAACCACGATTGCTCGGGTGGATTTTTTCCCTTCGTATTGAGAAGAGTAGTAACGATGATTCGTCAGTTCGTTCTTACCTGTAAACTTGTCTACCGTGTTGGTAAATTCCTTATATGGCGACACCTGAGAAGAACTTCCTTGGTTTCCTGCCTCCGGCGGAGGAGTTTGGTGATGCGGCGCTCAGGGCTGACCTTGAGGACATCGTTAAGACCGGTCACTTGGATCACATTAAGCAAGCCCTGTCAGTCTATCGCCGTAAACGCACCAAGGCTCACAATGCTGTGAAGGAGACCAGACGTCTTGTGGCCAACGAGCCTCTCGAGGGGACTGACTCAGCTCCCAGTTCTGCCGAGAGGGCCGAGAGAGAGCAGACTCTGGCGAACCAGTCTCAGTTATGGTCCGACTTCAACAAAGTCTGTCGTTCGCTTGAGAAGGTCGAGGAAGCTATTGAGTTCGCCGCGGTCTTTCACAAAGTGGTCGAAGAGGGGTTCACGGATGACGAGGGAGCCGGTTGGGTCACTCCGAGTTCTAGCCCTTCTCATTCACCAGTCGTCTCGTCGGCGAGGAAGTATGGACGTGCTGATCCACCTGTGAAGGCAGAATCCTCATATGTGGGTCGTGGTCAGGGGTTTATCTAGGTGCGCGCAGCGCACCTATGGTGCACATTTCGAGGCTCGGGTCGCGGATAGGTGCATAGTCCAGATGTATACTAGCACCTCCGGCGCGCACCTTAGCGGTGCACCGACCCACTTGTCGGCATGCACGCATGGGATTGCACGCATGTACTCGTTGATCATCGCACAAGGAGCATTGCCAGTCGCACAAGGAATATTACCATCAACCATTCTCAGTTGATCATCGAGTCGTTATCAGGATAATATGAAGGCTTTCCTTCAGAAAATGCAGGCTAAGCAGTCTTCGTCGAGCTCGAGCTCGAGCTCTCAGGTTCGCGGTCCAGGTAATGGTACAGCTGCCGCCGTCGAGCGGCGCGAAGAGCAGGAGCAAAACAGATCTACTGCACCTCAAGAGGCCAATGCTACTCCCTCTATTGGTGTTAATGTACAGGGATCCCCTGAGGTTGATCTATCAGACGGTGCTGAGCCTCATCCCAAACAGCAGAAGTCTTTCCGTTCTGTTCATGCGGAATGGGTAGAGGAAACGCCCGAAGGTTACTATTGTAAGGTTTGCAGACCAGCATATTTGAGAGGGGATCTCCTCTTGAAAGATGCGGCTGAGAAATACTTCGTGGGCAAGCTTGTGGGTAATCGACAACAACCAGGGAGGAAAGCCAAAGCTCACGCTGTTGACGCCGCTCACGTGTCTTTGGTGACGCGGGCCGGAGTTGACTCGGGTTCTGCGAGGCAGAGGGGGGCGTTATCTGCGCTTTATGATGCGAGCGCGAGGTCTAAAATGTTACAGCTAAAAACTGAGAAGGCTGGGCTTCTTTCATATATTGAGGGGCTCTATTTCCTGACCAAAGAGGAAATTCCTCATACAACGAAGTTCGGTTCGCTGCTGAACCTACTCTATAGATTCAGCCCGGAACTCAGAGCTTTTGGTGTGACTCGGCCGGGAAATGCAACCTACCGCTCTACAACAACTGCCACGGATATCATCGATAGTATGGCAGCAGTTCTCGATCTCTCAACAACCAATGGAATAAGACAGTCTATCAATCATTATGGTGAATTCTCGGTGATGGCGGACGAGAGCACTGCCCATTCGACTAGTATTCTCAGCGTCTATGTGCGACATGTAGACTGCAAGACGACCGAGGTTTGTGAGTCACTCCTGCACTTGCAGGCGCTCACGGACACAAAAGCACAGACCATATATGATGCTATCAATAATGCTCTACTGTCAAGAAATCTGCCGGTTAGCTCTATCCATTCCGTCAGCTTCGATGGATGTAGCTGCATGTCAAGCTCCCATCAAGGAGTGTACGGTTTGATTCTCGAAGGGTGGGCTGGCTATATCAAGTTCATTCATTGTCGATCGCACAGGTTGCAGCTTGTTGCGAAAACTGTGGCGAGAGACACACACGTCGCCATCCAAGAATGCATCGAGAATGTCCAGTCACTCTACTCGTTATTTTCTAAGTCGAATAAGAAAACGTCACTCCTGAAGGAATGTTCTGTGGAAATGAGGGATGTCGGTGAAAGGTATCGCGGTCTCATCGACGTAGCTCCAACCAGGTGGCTTTCGACATCTCAGGCAATCTCAAGGTTGATCTCTATACTGCACATTGTTCTGTCCGCTTTGACGAAGATCGGCCAAGACCGTGACTACTCGGCTGACGATCGCAGTCGCGTGAAGGGTCTCTTGAGCTACTTTACTCGTGATACTAATATCCAGGTGCTTTTGGTTCTAGGGCGTATACTGGGTGCTATGGCAAAGCTATCAGAGGCGTTTCAGAAAGTTGGTATCACTTATCCTATTGCCGTTAAACGGACGGATGAACTCATCGAGGAGCTCTCCGAATTGAATACTGAAGCGTCCGTGGCCGCCCTAGTCACCAACGGACTCCGTGAACTTCACGGTAGTGTTCGTGAGCAGATTGTATCCCGTCGCCGCAGGGCGGCAGCCGGACCACCCGAGGCTAGCATCTACAATGTCGTTTCTCCTTACCTAACTGATATAGTAGCCGAGATAAAGTCTCGCTTCAAGGATGACGTCCTCTTCCTTATGACTATGGACAGATTCGACTCGTCTCGTTGGACCCGAGACGTGGCTGGCTTGGTGGCTGTCAAGCTGGAAGGTCGACAGTGTACTTGGAAGGGAGCGCTTCAAGAGGAGGTCGCTTTTATGAAAAAGGATCTCGAATTTGACCCTATCGCTGAGGGAGATAACTTTCACCGGTGCTTCCTCATGCGTGACAGACTAGTCGCCCTATATCCGAACCATGCCAGGCTGTGTTCCGTCGTACTCTGTTTACCAAGCTCAACGGCTTCTGTCGAGAGATGTTTCAACCTTTCGACTCGCATAGCGGATGACCATCGGAGCATGACCAGTGATATGCTTGTCAAGCTGATGAGGATCAGTCATCAAGGTCCGGAGCTCCCGGGGATTGATTCTCCACCAAGTGTGGTCAGGGCTTACGAGTCTTTCATCGATGAAGTATGGGAGCACTGGGCCGCCAAGAAGAGCAGAAGAGTCGAGTGATCCCGGTGCTGCTGCAGCACTGATGCATGGTCTTTGTGTATTCCTCAACGAAGCCCTTTCGAAAGTGTTCTTATGGACTGTCTCAGACAGTCTATGGGAAAGACTTTTATAGACAGTCTCTTAGAGAGACTGTCTATAAAAGTCTTCAATACAGAGAGACCCTCTCTGTATTGAAGACTCATTTTTCCCAGAAAGGTTACCTTTCTCTGTCGAATTTCCGACCCATCGATTAGAAATCCGAATCAATGGATCAGGAGTCCGGCTGTTGGATTCTCAGTATCACAACGTGATGATCACGTTGAGTTGAATTCATACAAAAGCTTCGGATCAAGCAGTCAGATATTCACGTCTCTGAAGGAAATAATATTCGGAAACATCGACGCAAAAAACGCGGAGCGGCAGGCTCAATTGGTGTGTCATTGACGCATCGTCAACGACGCATCAAGTGAGTGCGCCCTGAATTCCAAGGGCACCTTTGGGTGCGAGCAGGGAAATCTCTGGATAAACCCCTGGTCGTGGTGCAGACCGTGGCTTTTCCGGGAGGGCCGTCAATGCGCAGACGGTGACTAAAGTGGACTTGCCCAAGCTCAAGGATAGATTTTCACTGGCTCACCATCTGCGAGTATGTGAGAATATGTTGATCGAGGCGGAGGTGGGCGAGATGTCAGGAAGCGATTTCGTGCCTCTCCCCCGACTACGGTATAATGTGGTTACCAAGATTCTGGGCACCCTGGAGTCGCATAAGAGAATATTTGAGCTCGGTACGGATCGGGCTGAACAGACCGATCATGACTGGAAAGCTGTGAAGAAGGCCTTGCTGGGCACTCACGCTAAGCGTGAGAGTTTGGTAGCAGAATTCCGTTCGAGCCTCTTGCGAATGAAGTATTCTACCGTCGATGAATTCAGCGCCGATGCAAGAAAGTTACACTCCATGGCGGGGAGACTGTTCGGCCTTGAGAATACTTACGAGATCCGCGGCCTGGTGGAAACCTTGGTGGGGAAGCTCCCCACTGAGAGGGCTTCTGCATTGATCTCCGAGATTCATCGCATAGCTAAGCTGGGAGCTTACTCTCCCGACTGGCCTCTGTCCCTTGAGTTTGACGACTCCGACAACTCCGTGCTAGGAATTCTCAACAGACTAGAGAGGCAGGAGGGGGCGGTGCGCAGTTTGAAGACTGTGTCTCGCCACGACACGGCGAGAATGGCTGAGGTCGAGGAGGAATATGAGGGGATGGTAGCGATGGAGTCTGAGAGGAAGTCTCCCAACCTTTCCTCAAAGCCCACTAAACTCGGAGCTCATCCGCCGAATTCGGCTCGCACCTGGTGTGCGCAGTTTCCCGAGGATTCCCTTATTAAGGTGTATGAATGCTGGGGTGATATGCTCAAGTCCAAGGTGCCCGAGATGGTTGGCTCATTCGCGCTAAAGACACGGTTCCGCCGTAATCCGATTTTCCGGATTGTTGCTCTGAAGACGGTCGCTGACCGGTCGGAGATTATAGGTCGTCTCAAGAAAGAGGGGGTCCGAGCTGAGGCATTTACCCCTTTTCAATAAGCCCTGAGCATGGCCCAAAACTACTCAGTGGAGTAGATACGATCGAGTGCGACATCCGGTGCGTCAGTTCGTTAGAGTCTCTTGCATCTCTCACACAACCTGCGTCAGAGCGGGCATTGGTACCTCCCGCGTTTCTGCTAGGTTGTCGGTTGAGAAAGCCTGATGGTGATTGCCTCGATTGCCAGGCTCTGCTCGATACTGGATCAGGGCTCGATTTTCTTGTAATATATGATGCACACCATCCTCTTCTCTCTGAGGAAGGCGGTGTCTGTGATGTGAAGGTTCGCCTGGCTGATGGTTCGGTGTGTACGGTCGTGCGCTGGGTCCAGTGCCGAATTCAAGTACATCAGAACGGTTGTTATGGTCCGGAATATGTGCGTTCTTTCTATGTTTTGCCGGCCTATCGAAAGACTCTATCGAGTGCACCTGCAGAGTCGGTTTTTTTGATCGCTGGTCGGGCTTTTTTACGTGATTTCCGGATATCGGTGATTGCAGGAGAGGGAAGGGTCCTCTGCCAAGGACCTCCGGGGGAGTTGGATCAGGCAAGTCAGGATACCGACTTGTCCCTCCTGTGTCTCCCGCTGGAACCTACTCTCGAGGCTGATAGCTTAGACGACCTTCTTTGTTCTATCGTTGATGGAGAACGTGCGACATTGACTGACAGATTAGTCCTAGAAGCTCCTCGAGTGGACCAGGATATTCTGCGTATTCCTTTTTCCAGTCCTCCGATTCTTTGTGAGGACCTGCTGCGATCTTTGGAGGGAAAGTCGTGGCTCCCCATGAGGCATTGCCCGCATTGGTCTTGCCGACTCCGTAAGCTCGGAGAGGCTGAGCGACGAGACGACCCAGTCCAGCAGTTCGTTTTCGAGCTGAAGTGTGACAACCTTCCGGCTCAGAGCCCTTTGTATATCCTTGCATCCGCCCGACGCTTCGCCAAGGCCGCTTATGACCGGCTTGATCCAGCGCGTCAAAGCGCCTTCGATGAAATTGTGGCTGACTATGAGAAACGCGGCTGGTGGGTGAGGTGCTCTGAGGAAGACTTGAAGTCCGCGAAAGAGCATATTCTCGATCCTGCTGTCGTGTTTATGGTACCTGGCGGAGAGAAGCGGAAGGACCGCTTGGTAGTAGATCTGAGAAAGGCCAACAAGAGATTTGATAAAGGATCTGGTTCGGCCACAACGGTCTCGCTGTGTATTGCCACAGCCAGGCTCTACGGATCTGGTGTCTGTTGGGTGTTTGATGCGGCTAAGGCTTTCTACAAGCTAAGGTGGGTAGGTCTTATGGCCGTATTGTTGGTCAAAAATCTCATATTCTACAGTATGAGGTGTATTTTTGGTGTCACAACGGGCCCTGGGAGTCTGCGGCATACACTGGGTGCACTCGTGGATGAGTTCCGCAAGATACTCCGGGTGACCATGCTCATGATGTGCTTTGCTGATGATGTGTTCTGTGGCAGCATCGAAGGGGCTATTGCGGTGTGTTCGCTCATTTGGCTGCTGACAATGTGCGGGCTTGCCATCACTCAGAGGAAGTTCCAGTGTATGGCTCTCCGGCAGTGCAGGGAGCGCGTATCAAAGCAGCTGGATGCGGCCAGTCTGCCTAGAGATCTCTTCAAGTGGTCTGACTCCGTGGAGCTGCTTGGGTGCTCATTGTCTTTCGATACATTGAACGCACAGCCTCTATTAGTGGCATCGTGCAACCGACAGGATAGGCTGAAGGCTGCCGGCGCCCAGGCAAGCCATCTTTTGGATGCCCTGCGCTCGGGAACTATCAGTGGAGACATTTCGAAGGGTTACATTTTTTCTCTCGGTGGTAACCTATCCTATGATTGTATGGGCTGCCATGCGATAGACAGGGTCGTAGCGGATGCTCTTAGGAGTTGGTTCGCAAGGATATATGCCTCGGATGACTGGGCAGTCCCCTGCGACCTCTCGAAGCTTGATGAACTGGGTCGGGCTACCGGTATCTTGCTGGCAGAGTGGGCTATCGAGCTGGCCCAACAGTCCTCGCCCTGTCAGCATACGACTCCAGTGCGAGAAGCCAAAGACCCTATCCGTTTGGAGGTTGCCTCGGATGCATCAACCACTGGAGCTGGCTACACCATTAGCATTGTGGACGTCTCTAGAGGAGAGGAGAACTCCCAGCGGTTTTTGTTGTCGTCGGGTGCGTGGCGTTTCACTTCTCAACAGAGGCATTACCACAGCAATCGCCGCGAGCTAGCGGCCTGTTGTAAAGCGGTGCAAGCGGCTGTGGACATTGTATCCCACTTCGGTGAGAGCTGTGCTGGTCCGCTACCGAAGTTAGAGTTCATTATATGTTCGGATAACAGACCCACGGTATCATGGCTGCAGGGGCGTGGATCGATTTCGCGCTCGTCGCTGGAGCGTAGGGCAGTGATTCGCACTCTAAATGCATTGAAGGATGAGATAGACCATCTAAAAACCATTACTCAAGGCTCAGTGACGGTGAAGCATATCGCGGGGCAAGATAACCTTCTGCCTGACGAGCTGAGCAGGGTGTTTGACCGAGTCATCTCGCTACCTTCGGGACGTCGCCTTTCGGTTGCGGATGCTTTACATGGAGATCCTGATGATGTTGCTAACTGTCCCGACCTGTTTGCGGAGCCAGAAGGGTTGGCAATGGGCGTCAACTGGCTCATAACCTCGGAGGAATGGAGCGGTGGGGTAGATGTAGAGGGTGAGGTAGATGTGTTCTCGATTTTGGCTGCCTTCCCTACTGAAGACCGAATGAGAGGCTACTCTTGCTTGGTCGACAAGAACGAGGAGAAACGAGGTTCTATTCTCCAGACGTTGTGTGGAGACAACTGGGATATTCAGAGCGTCTTGGCGGACTTCTTGTTCCTGCGACGTGTTCTTCAGGCTTTAAGGCCCGAGGGGAAGGGAAAGACTGAAGAGGAGTTGGAAGACGCCAACGATTACTCTTTCGTTCGAGCATTGCAAGATGGTATGGCGGTGCCTCCTATCAGGCCATCTGGTCCGTACATCTTCGACGAGCAAAACGGAATTTATCTATTCAGGAATGGATGCCCCGATGGCGGTTATGTTCTGTTGCCGGTTGTGCCGCATGAGGGGGCGCATTGTATGGCATTCCGCTCCAAGTTGCTCTTCGATGCTCATAGGGCTTGTAGGCACGGCTCGGTTGGTAGCACGGTTGGCAATATATATGACAAGTTCTTCGTGTCGAATATTAGAGCGGAGGCGCGGCGGTTTGTGCGAAGTTGCTTTCCATGCCAGTTGCTAAGAGCTCGGAGGAGTTGGGATCAGCTCCCGGGCGGTGGTCCGGATCGCAACGAGGCAACGAAATGGGAGCCTTATAGAGAGGTCTTTATTGATATTCTATCCTTGGGTGATATTCGGGGATACAAAGGGTCCACTAAGGTTCTCACGGTCTATTGCCTCTACACATTCCATTCCTGCTGGGTTCCTGTTGGGGATTCTATGAAAGATATATTATCGGCGCTCGCGAGGGTCCAAACGGAGCAGGGCGGTTTGAGTGTGATATGGAGTGATCAAGCATCGTATTTCCGGAGCTCTCGTTTTTCGGATGACCTCTGGAGGGGCTTGGGAGCCAGGATTAAGCTACTTCCGGTCCGCTCGCCATGGAAGAGCGGCGGCGGGGAACGGATGCATGGTCTCGGCCTCCGAGTAGCCAAGACGATCTTAAGAAGTCAAACTGGATATGTGGGTCGACGACGGTCACGGCAAAAATCTTCTATAGATTTGGAGGAGATTTGCAGGGAGGTGACCTTCTTGTTGAATACCAGACCGTTAGATTTCTCCAATACTAATGAACCTTCTGGTGAGTGTATGATTATTACTCCGGACTTGTTGGCTAAGGGTTTCACCAGAAAGAGAGGCTGCCTACTGCCGTCGCCTTCCTCCTCGATCTCCATTAGCCGTCGCATAAAGGCTGCTCGTACTTATTTTTTGACTGATATGTTTCGGAACATGAGACTGTCGGTGGCAAAATCCATGGGGTTTGCTAGTTCCCGTGGAAGGGTACTAGAGGTCCATGTTGGCGATCCTATCCTTATTCATCATCCGGAGAAGAAGCTCAGTCCCGGCTTTAGATTGGCACATGTTGTGGAGGTCTTGAAGGAGGGTCGGTTGATTCGTGCCAGGTTTACGGATGGGTCTGAGGCTGATCAGCATCATTTCAATGTCGTTAAGTTGTTACATAACCCCGAACTGTCGCAGCAGAGGGGGCGTGTAATGGATTAGTTGCTGCTCCCCTTTGCGAGTATGCGTGCGGTATGGTGTGAGCGTGCGTGCATTCGTACGCAAGCGTAACCACGATTGCTCGGGTGGATTTTTTCCCTTCGTATTGAGAAGAGTAGTAACGATGATTCGTCAGTTCGTTCTTACCTGTAAACTTGTCTACCGTGTTGGTAAATTCCTTATACCGGGAATAGAATCCCGACTTCGAGGACATGAAAGTATCATCTTAAACAGTTCAGCTAGGTCATACGATCACGCTACCGGTTCTCGAAGGAAGCTCTAGAAGCTCGAGAACGAAGCTCTAGCGCTGAGCTTCCTCTTAGAACTTCTGAATTAGAAACCCAGAGTTACTTGATTCCGAGTGAACATATTGAAAAGTTTGAAGTACGGATGTGTGCAAGTGCGACAAAAGATCTTCTTCCAGAATTTCATCATTGTTGTAGCGTAACGGGAAATGTGCATGCATTCGGGGCGAATCTACCAGATTCTCCCCTCGTAGAGTGACGTTTTCTGCCTTTCTTGAAAGTGTCACTTTCGGTTCTGGGGCGTGGCGACTACAATCTTCTTCTTGTCAAAAATGTCTGATTCAACCTCTGATTCCCCGATTCTCGAAAATACTCAGATTCAATGGAATCACCCGAAAAATCAGCCTCATAAGCAAGGCATATTGAGTAAGAGTATTATTCAGCCAAAAAATCAACTTTAGATCCTCGAATAATCTCAGAGATCCAGATATCCTCGCGATGATCCTGATTTCTCGCTCCAGAGTAAAAAATCAGTGAATCAGGGGTTATTACTCACCATCTGATTTTTTCATCTGAGTAAATACTCTGACTCACCTGTTGCATCAGGATCCGCATACGGCCCCAGATTCTGGGGCCCAGAATTCATTGATGCACAATGCATCGAGTTAAAGTGCATCATGCATTTCTGCTTAGAGCATTAAGTCCCGTCGCGGTAGTCACAAGTCTACATCAATGTTGATTGAGGTATATCATCGATCCTGGGATTACTCATGAGCATGGGACAAGACATCCAAGGCAACTGTTGGGCCCAGCGCCTATACAACTAACACGTTCATGTTTTGTAGCGCCAAGGAACATCAGTAACCAGATTGCTGATAATTTTCTCAAGCACTTGGAAGATAATGATGCTTCGAGCCTCGAAGTTCGAGGCACATGCTTGGTTGCCTGGAAAGACATCAACAGTGAGGCCACTCCAACTGGAATGGCCAACTTCTCGAGATTCATCGGCGGTTGTCGCCGTATGGGCAAGCAGTCCGAGAAGGATATAAATTCACTCTGTTGAGTGGAGCTCTCACTGTGAGAGCATCTTAGCCTATCACATATGATCAAAGGCAACCCTAGTGTGGGAAAATATGCACATGGTCAACGACATATGTTAGTGACAATACGTGAATTATGAGGTAAGTTCGGAAAATAGTCAGTGGTTTCTGCACATCTCTATCTTAATTCGTGTATACACTCCTATGATCACTGCGAGAACTCTCCAACTCAGCTTGAGAAAACGAACATATATTTCAACACTGGGCAACCCAGAGCCATGGAACCGCCTCTTCGTTCAAAAGATTGATATGGTAGCCAAGACTCCAGCTCAGTGGTACTTGCGCCCCTCAGACATCCACTGGCTCCGCATATCCGCTGTGTTGATTATTGACGCATGTCCTGTATACGCGTGCAACGTGCGCCATAACTTGGGTTCTCAGGCTTCCGAGTTCTTGGGTAAGGCTAGTAACCTCGGATGCCGAGTGGAGCAATTTGGCCATTACCGAGCTGTGGATCATGCGTTTACTCATAACTAACTTTCTCTGGGTCAATACTCATCAGCTGATGATTCCTCTGCTACACACGTCACCTCCCTTAACTCCGACAGTGGTAAATCGCTGAATACGATCTTACTAACACGCACTTTGTCTACTGGAGTGATAAGCCCGACATCCATCAGTCTAGAGATACCGAGT